GTACTTATAAACGCCAGTACTTATAAACGTAAGAACCACTGACGGGCCGTGAGGTAGGGGTAAACTTTTGAATGGGAAGGATTTGTGCAACGCCACTTGGCAGAAAGGTGGTCCAGAATGTTTGCCGGAGCATGGGCTACTTTAAATTTGGCGGCACAGCCTTTATTGTTATTTTGCAGAGGAACGACGGGGGCGAAGCAGATTTTTTGCGGGGGCGAAGCAGAACGGGGCGGGGGCGAAGCAGAACGGCGGGGGCGAAGAGGAAGGAGTTTCATGGGGGTGCATGTATATCTGTTGTTCCAGAAACAATTTCCGGACACTTAACTTAGACAGTATCCTGCTAATGTGTGATTTTGATGGTCTAAAACTCTGGTAGCTGACTTTTGACAACTTTTGTCTTACATTTTCCTGATTCTTATGTATAAAAAGTAGTGACCTCATCACTATCCTTTGCTGTACAGGCAGATACTACGGTGACAAGGCAGTATCCAATCGGCCAAGCTTCAATAGAAGTTCAACATTGAGGGTAGCGCTTGTAGTCAACACATAAATTGGAGAAAAAAAACTGAACAAGAAAGTACGGTGAAAAAAAACTTTGTGTGTGTGTGTGTGTGTGTGTGTGTGTTTGTGTGTGTGTTATCCTGTATTGTGAATTATGAGTGTGACATCGCCCAGCTTTTCCTTGTAGCGTTACATTAATGTTAATGTGATATCAAAAATTTCAGGCAGTCGTTATGATCATCATGCGTTAACTACTACCCGGAGGTTTAAAATCTCAGATTCCATGTTTCCTTTGGTATCATATATTAGATAAAGGTTAAGTGACACTTGTTTGTGCACAGTAAGGCTTATTAAGAAAAAATAATAAACCCCAATGAACTCTGGGCCTCATGAGTATTTCATAAGTTTTCCCCATATTTCTAAAAGGGGGAATGGCGAAGTACATGCACGCCATCTGTTAGTATTGAGAACAACTGCAGTAGCAGACGTCAGACCCACAGTTTTAGACTACTGGTACTAACATGGTCACTGACTGTAATGGGGAGCAAACTTAAGCCAGTTAGTAAACAATCTATCATACTGATCTATAGAACTGTAAGTTGGTATAATAAGGTAAAAGTAATACTAGAAAGGCCAATATTTGCTTTGGAGCAAATATAGCGATGGGTTCACCACATTTTACCACATGGCAGGGAAAGAATGAGAAACACAAGGGAAAACAATGATTTACATTGATATAACTATAATATGAAGTAACATACAACTAAAACAACAGTTGGATAGCTATTCCCTACTTTATTGGTTAGGATTTTTAATTGCATAATGCAAACTGTTGATTTTCAAAATAAAAAAAAACGTTCATGCCCCGCATTCCAATGCTGGAGCAGAAAAGCTTGAAATACCTACCAAAACACTTGAATAAAGACATACTGTCAGTATGGAAATGCTCTGTGCAGGTGTTAATCAAGTTAAATCCCAACAGCCAATCAGCAAGAAATGCTCTGTGCAGGTGGAAATGCTCTGTGCAGGTGTTAATCAAGTTAAATCCCAACAGCCAATCAGCAAGAAGTATAGAGGAAAGCTGCATGTCTATTGGTTGATGCCCTGCATTCCATTGTGATGACTCATGCCCAGACGTGGTAAACACGGCACACTGACACAGTAATACATTTGCTATAACACAGCCAAAAAACTAAAATAAAACCATTCTAAAAGCCTGTATCACAAAAATTAAAAAAAACGCCTAGGGGTATTTGCCCACGGTACCTCCATTCCAAATTTCAGGACCTTAGTCCCTAAAATGAAGAAGCTGAATCCATTTAAAAAATGGCAGGAGAAGGAGGAGAAGGAGAAGAAACATCAGAAAAAGCAATATGGTTTCACCACACCACTTCGTGGTGTGGTGAACCCATAATAAGAACTACAATTGGTACATGGTAGAAGATGTGTCTTCAGAACGGATTATAGATAATTAACATGCGACTGGGAAAAACAGTAATGCTTACATTGCAAATCTAATCCCCTCAAAATTTCTTCTACAGAATTTGAAGGTTCTGTGGTCTACACATTGAGACGCCGTGGCAAAATATTCTACGCTTTTAAATATATAGTTCAAATGTAAAGTTCCGAATTGTCTCATTGATATTCAGTCTTGCCTGGGGATGTTGCAAGTGACCGGCCAGGTCATCTACAAGTACAATAGTCGGAGAGTAGTTACCCGAGTTAATTGACTTGGTATAATTTATACATGCGCGCTTGGTTTGTTTACTTATTGGGATCTGAGAGCCGTCCAAACTGTCGGCTGGGACGAATTTGTCTTCGTCTGAAACCATACAAGGCCTTATTTACCTTTACTAACTATCGTTACGGTGGAGAATGACGTCGGAGAAGCTCCCTTACGGTCACCTCATGCCGGAGAGAAGCACCCGCCGGGAACGCACGGGCGGCCCGCTCGGATCGCTCGTAGGTGTTCTCGGCGCCGCCGCGGTGTTTGTTTCCGCCGTGGTGCTGGCCGTGATCGTGCAGAACATCGGGCATGAGATGGGGAATCTCCGGGCCAAGGTGGAGAGGGACCACGACGAGATGGCTAAACTACAAGTCCAGGCTCAGAGAGACCACGACGACCTGGCTAAACTGCAAGCCCAGGCTCAGAAAGACCACGACGACATGGCTAAACTGCAAGAAAAGGCCGAGAAAAGCGACGCAGAGATAATCAAGCTCCAAGCCCAGGCACAGAAAGACCACGACGAGATTGGTAAACTACAAGCCCAGGGGCAGAAAGACCACGACGAGATGGCTAAACTGCAAGAAAAGGTGGCCACCCTCGCGACAAAGGCCGAGACAAGCGACGCAGAGATAATCAAGCTCCAAGCCCAGGCTCAGAAAGACCACGACGAGATTGGTAAACTGCAAGCCCAGGCTCAGAAAGACCACGACGAGATTGGTAAACTGCAAGCCCAGGCTCAGAGAGACCACGACGACATGGCCAAACTCCAAGCTCGGGCCGAGAAAGACCAAGAGGAGGTCCTGTCTCTGAGGGAGAGGATCGTCGTGCTGGAAACACAGGTCCGAGGCGCGACTTTCCTGCCAAACTACGCTGAACAACAACAAATGTCCCATGTAAGTAGTCACATTTACCGCACTGAGAGATAGTGCTATAGGCATATATACTGATATACAGTTACGACACGACGTTTGTATCTTTTATACTGACAGTATTCCTACCACAGTTCTTGTCATTCCCATCAGTTCTACTACCACGTTCAAAGATTCTTCAATGCCTTTTTTGCCAACGTAGCTTGCGTTTTCGCGAATTCGTTTTGTTTTCCAATATTTTGTTCACTAAACCTCAGCTAGTACAGCGGTAAACATGACGTACTGACTTGTGGTATTCCTTCCTACTGGACCGGTTCTGTGCAGAGCCCTGAGGGAGGACAGTCTGGGCACGTCGGCGAGGCTGACACCGGGGGACAGAACAACAACGCCACGGTGGGAGGACTTGCGCACAGGCGCTCCAAGAGAGATTCGCCCAACTGGGTCAGACTCCCGTCTGGATCAGGTAGAGTACATTTATTTTCAGGCGTACTCTGTTTCATCTCCAAGCAGATCTTTACTTTGGTGGCTGAGCAAAGACAGAATGAAATTGGCCATTTGCCAGACTGTTATCATTTCGCCACCAAAAGATCTACTCTGTTCTCTCTAACCTAAAGAATGTGTCTGGGTTTCTACACACGAACTAATAATTTGATTTTGATTCTATTGAAATTGCAACAATGCAATACACGCGAAACAGAGGCAGCTGTTGCTGGTGTTGTGTCCCGCACATAGAAACGAATGCTGGACAGACAATACTCATTTTCACTTGAGTCTAGTGGGGAACGTCGTGTAAAGTGCCTTTCCCAAGGACTCGAACCAGGGACCTCTTGATTCCTAGTCGCGCACGCTGCCGTTGCGCCACACGACCCACAATGTACAGATTTTAAGTTTATATTTGTCAAAATATAGAATATGTTGCCTAACCGTGTTTCAGCTAGATCTACTACAAGATAAGATTGAATCAGACCCCAGTCTAACTCCGCTCCTTGACAGGTTGTGAGAACCAGCCGGGACGGGATGGGCGGGACGGACGGGACGGAATGGCGGGAGCACCCGGGCTGAAGGTGCGCTGAAACGTCCCGGAGTCATCACTCATTTGTTTCAAATTGTTGTTAAAATCAAACTTGTCTGTCTTGAGATTACTGATGTGTTCTATTCGTCTATAAGAAAAGACTTTCTTGAAATTTCTTCTTTATATGAATAAATAGTACACATGTGGTAGTACGTGTACTATACGATATAGTAGGCATCCTTCCCTCTCGAAAGATGAAGTAATTGCTGACTAATTTATAAGATATAATTATAAATGAATAAATAAGTGTCCAAAATGAAACTTGAACTTCATTTGATGGCGCAATGTGTTGTCAATAGTTGACCATGAAGATGTGATTATGTTTGATCTGATTTTTACAGGGTGAGTCTGGACAGAAAGGAGACATTGGACTGCAAGGTCATCAAGGGGCCAAAGGCCAGAAAGGCGCACAAGGGACAAACGGATTAGGTGAGTATATTGTGCGCTTAGATCTGTTCAAGGATGTTATAGTTAAAGAATACGTACCACCGTGCTATAGATTATCGATAGATCTGGTATACTTCACTGTCAATATGATTTTCATTTGATTCTGGCAATAGAATGGTAGAAAACTTCATTATCACTTACCTAATTGTTATGCTTAACAGGAGGCGCTGTTTATGTCCGCTGGGGAAGGAAGACTTGTCCCTCTGGAGCAACAACTGTCTACTCTGGTAAGGTCTTCTTAGTCATATTTCGACAGAGAATATACTATGGAGCTCGAGATTACATGCTGTATATATATATTCCAGGAAAACTGCATTTTAATTAGAATGTGCACTACATATTCATGGCAACAGTGCCTCCAACCATCAGAGGATGAAGCATACCGACCACGGCTAGCACCCGGCTTTAATGTTCCACTCAACCGAACGAGAGGCAATAAAAGAATATCGGCTGTGCAGAAATTTTAATTTCTAAAATGTTTCATATTTATCAATGTGTATTCGTTGATTTTAAGCTAAAAGGGGATTTTAAACTACATTGTACAGAACAATTCTGTAATGATATTTTTTCCTCTGATGATATTATTTTTGTACATATCAACCCAATTCATGCTATTTCTATTATACCTTAGACCTTACCTTAGATCCTCCCGCTTTAGGTGCTTTATCATACCATATAATAGTAATACTGTCTGAATTGGGTGGATATGTACAATACAAATATCATCACAGTATTAAGGGAGCAAAAATTGTCATTACGGAATTGTAATAAATAGGTTCAAGTACAACGTTATAACTTATATACTTGATATGTAATGTACAAAAATGTAGGATGGATTGTTTTCCTTCGATAATACTGTGCTGTATTCTTGTCTACAGAGTGTGATGATTGTTTGATCTGTGTGTTTCCATTCAGGTGTTGCAGGAGGTGAATGGTACGACCACCCCGGCGGCGGGACCAACTACCAGTGTCTGCCGACCGACCCACAGTGGGGACGGTACCAAGATGGAGTCAACGAGTTCAGGGCTTTCATGTTTGGCGCTGAGTACCAGTTGGGCACAAACGTCCCGTTCGGCTCCACCTCCCTTCACAATCACAACGTCCCGTGTGCGGTCTGCTACGTCCCAACCCGGGGCAGTAAGTTAATGATCCCCGCCCGTAACACCTGTTATAGCGGCTGGACCCGCGAGTACCATGGCTACCTCATGGCTGAACGCCACAACCACGCCGGCTCTAAAGAGTTCGTCTGCGTGGATGAACAGCCAGAGGTGATGCAGGGCGGACACGCCAACCAGGACGGAGCGCTGTTCTACCCCGTGGAAGCCCGCTGTGGGTCCCTGCCGTGTCCCCACTACGTGGAAGGAAGGGAACTCACCTGTGTCGTCTGCACCAAGTGAACTCTGTATTCGTCACACTAGCTCCATGTATATCTATTGTTCCATGTGTACTTCTATGTTGTTTGTTATGTATAGTTGATGGTGTTGAATTTTATGTGTTAGATTTGGCGTTCCTGGTTGTGTTAACAGAGGTCAACATTTTCATCTGCAGACTAGGGTTTTAAACAAAGAATTTATCGAGACCGCACACCCCTCTGTGCGAGAGGTCAGCTTCGTAGACAAGACCGACACACGCCAAAGGTGAATGGTAGCGACCACTTTGGCGCTCAAAGGGGTGTTCTGGGGCCACCAAAAGGCACAATTTTCACGCTCGAAAACACATATACAACTAGAGTTCCACGATCTCATACCTTCGCCAAATGATGTTAGCTTTTATGATTAAGAAATTATATCTTAATCCCCCTAATTATGCAAATAGGATCCTCAATTGCATGAATTATATCTGTTGATCAAATTCTCCACCAAAAGACAGTCTTATCTTAACAAAGAATGCCATGATGACATTTTCTCATAAATTATGCAAATGAGGTCCTTATTTGAATAAGTTATGTTTAATTATGTTCACCTTAACTTAACTTTCAAACACCCCAAGTATAAAATTCCAGGCAGTTACCACTATGCAATTATAATATTTTCTCATTAATTATGCAAATTAAGTCTTCATTTGCATGATCGATATCTGCCTGTGTTTCTCTCATTCTTAATAACATATGTCACAAGCTTGAACTTCCTATTATGGAATGCAGCTGATAAATAGAATTTCCTCATTAATTATGCAAATTACATCCATATTTGCATAATTGTAATATCATTATGTCAAGCATCACTCAAGCTACCTACATACCAAAAATCACGATGATCCATCAATCGGTTCTTGAGTTATCCCCCTTTAAACATTTGTCCATTAAACCCCCCTGCAGTTCTAGAGCAAGCCGCTAGGGGGCTCAAACTCATGTCACTTTATTCCTAGCACAAGAGCTATCTACCAACTAAATTTCGTCCCCCTAGCATGTCTGGATCATGAGATATCAAAACCGGAAGTTCTGCTGCAGTACCATGACAAGCCGCCAGGTGGCCCAAAATCTAATCATTTTGAGGTCTCATCAAGACCTACCCACCTACCAAGTATCAAGACAATCCATCAAGACCTTCTCAAGTTATCGTGTTGACAGACACACACACACACACACACACACATACACGAACGCCCCTGAAAACATAACCTTCTTGGCGAAGGTAATAAAAACAAAAGAACGTGCATCATCTGCAGCCCAATAGCAAAACATATACCGAGTCCCAAAAGAATCCGTCCACCCAAACGCGAGAAACAGCTGCGAACATGAAAATCTAAATCTCTCACAAAACCCTTCCTCGGAAGGACGTCTTCAATAGAAGTTCATAACTTTGAGGGTAGCGCTTGTAGTCAACACAGAAGTGCAGGCTATAAATTTGGAAAAAAAAACTGAACAAGAAAGTACGGTGAAAAAAATAGAAAGGTGTGTGTGTTTGTATGTGTACGTGTGTGTGTGTGTGTGTGTGTGTGTGTGTGTTATCCTGTATTGTGGATTATGACTGTGACGTCGCCCAGCTTTTCCTAGTAGCACATTGATGTTCATGTGATATCCAAAATTTTAGACAGTCGTTATGATCATCATGCGTTGTATATTTCCTGGAGGTTTAAAATCTCAGATTCCTTGTTTCCTTTGCTATCATATATTAGATAAAGATTAGGTACCACTTGTTTGTGCACAGCAAGCCGTCTTAAGCAAAAATAATAAACCCCCATGAACTCTGGGCCTCATGAGTATTTCATAAGTTTTACCCATATTTCTAAAAGGGGGAATGGCGAAGTACATGCACGCCATCTGTCAGTATTGAGAACAACTGCAGTGGCAGACGTCAGACCCACAGGTTTAGACAACTGGTACTAATGATGAGTAACATGGTCACTGACTGTAATGAGGAGCAAACTTAAGTCAGTTAGTAAACAATCTATCATACAGATCTATAGATACGAACTGTAAGTTGGTATAATATGGTAAAAGTAATATAAGAACTACAATTGGTACATGGTAGAAGATGTGTCTTCAGAACGGATTATAGATAATTAACATGCGACTGGGAAAAACAGTGATGCTTACATCGCATATCTTATCCCCTCAAAATTTCTTGTACAGAATTTGAAGGTTCTGTGGTCTACACATTGAGACGCCGTGGCAAAATATTCTACGCTTTTAGATATATAGTTCAAATGTTAAGTTCCAAATTGCCTCATTGATATTCAGTCTTGCCTGGGGATGTTGCAAGTGACCGGCCAGGTCATCTACAAGCACAATAGTCGGAGAGTAGTTATCCGAGTTAATTGACTTGGTATAATTTATACATGCGCACATGGTTTGTTTACTCATTGGGATCAAAGCCGTCCAAACTGTCGGTTGGGACGATTTTTGTCTCCGTCTTGAACCACACTAGGCCTTATTTACCTTTACTAACTATCGTTACGGTGGAGAATGACGTCGGAGAAGCTCCCTTACGGTCACCTCATGCCGGAGAGGAGCACCCGCCGGGAACGCACGGGCGGCCCGCTCGGATCGCTCGTAGGTGTTCTCGGCGCCGCCGCGGTGTTTGTTTCCGCCGTGGTGCTGGCCGTGATCGTGCAGAACATCGGTCATGAGATGGGGAATCTCCGGGCCAATGTGGAGAGGGACCACGACGAGATGGCTAAACTGCAAGAAAAGGTAATCTCCCTTGCGACAAACGAAGAGAAAAGCGACGCAGAGATAATCAAGCTCCAAGCCCAGGCTCAGAGAGACCACGACGACATGGCTAAACTGCAAGAAAAGGTGACCATCCTAGTTGCTAGGGCCGAGAGAGACCACGACGAGATGGCGAAACTCCAAGCTCGGGCCGAGAAAGACCAAGAGGAGGTCCTGTCTCTGAGGGAGAGGATTGTCGTGCTGGAAACACAGGTCCGAGGCGCGACTTTCCCACCAAACTACGCCGAACAACAACAAATGTCCCATGTAAGTAGTCACATTTACCGCACTGAGAGATAGTGCTATAGGCATATATAATATACAGTTACGACACGACCTTTGTATCTTTTATACTGACAGTATTCCTACCACAGTTCTTGTCATTCCCATCAGTTCTACTACCACGTTCAAAGATTCTTCAATGCCTTTTTTGCCAACGTAGCTTGCGTTTTCGCGAATTCGTTTTGTTTTCCAATATTTTGTCTACTAAACCTCAGCTAGTACAGCGGTAAACATGACGTACTGACTTGTGGTATTCCTTCCTGCTGGACCGGTTCTGTGCAGAGCCCTGAGGGAGGACAGTCTGGGCACGGCGGCGAGGCTGACACCGGGGGACAGAACAACAACGCCACGGTGGGAGGACTTGCGCACAGGCGCTCCAAGAGAGATTCGCCTAACTGGGTTCGACTCCCGTCTGGGTCAGGTAGAGTACATTTAGTATAAGGCATACTCTGTTTCATCTCCAAGCAGATCTTTGCTTTGGTGGTTGTGCAAAGACAGAATGAAATTGGCCATTTGCCAGACAGTTACAATTTCGCCACCAATTTTCGTCTGCTTGGAAAATCTACTCTATTCTCTCTGACCCAAAGAATGTGTCTGGGTTTCTACACATGAACTAATAAAATATAATTGATCTGTAGAACAATTCCGATGTATATAATTCAGAAAAGAATTGTACTCTTATAATGTGCACTATTGCCTAAATTATCTCAGTAGCAATTCAAAGCACGCAGCTATCCACCATTTCCTTTAGTAAGGTAATAAAATCCACATACACGTTTCAATGTACAGATTTTAAGTTTGTACTTGCCAAAATATAGAATATGTTGCCTAACCGTGTTTCTTCTAGATCTACTACAAGATAAGATTGAATTAGGCCCCATTCTAACCCCGCTCCTTGACAGGTTGTTGTGAGAACCAGCCGGGACGGGACGGACGGGACGGACGGGACGGAATGGCGGGAGCACCCGGGCTGAAGGTGCGCTGAAACGTCCCGGAGTCATCACTGATTTGTTTCAAATTGTTGTTAAAATCAAACTTGTCTGTCTTGAGATTACTGATGTGTTCTATTCGTCTATAAGAAAAAGACGACTTTCTTGAAATTTCTTCTTTACATGAATAAATAGTACACATGTGGTAGTACGTGTACTATACGGTATAGTAGACATCCTTCCCTTTCGAAAGATGAAGTAATTGCTGACTAATTTATAAGATATAATTATAAATGAATAAATAAGTGTCCAAAATGAAACTTGAACTTCATTTGATGGCGCAATGCGTTGTCAATAGTTGACCATTAAATGTGATTATGTTTGATCTGATTTTTACAGGGTGAGCCTGGACAGAAAGGAGACACTGGACTGCAAGGTCATCAAGGGGCCAAAGGTCAGAAAGGCGCACAAGGGACAAACGGATTAGGTGAGTATGTTGTGCGCTTAGATCTGTTCAAGGATGTTATAGTTACAATATATACGTACCACCGTGCTATAAACACATCAATAGATGTGGTATACTCCACTGTCAATATGATCTTTATTTGATTTTGGCAATAAAATGGTAGAGAACTTCATTATCACTTACCTAATTGTTATGCTTAACAGGTGGCGCTGTTTATGTCCGCTGGGGCAGGAAGACTTGTCCCTCTGGAGCAACAACTGTCTACTCTGGTAAGGTCTTCTTAGTCATATTTCGACAGAGAATATGCTATGGGGCTCGAGATTACATGTTCTATATCCCAGGAAAACTGCATTTTAAGTAGAATGTGCACTACATATTCATGTCAACAGTGCCTCCAAGAATCAGAGGATGAAGCATACCGACCACGGCTAGCAGCCGGCTTTAATGCTCCACTCAACCGAACCGAGAGGCAATAATAGGTGTAAAAGAATTTTGGCTGTGCAGAAATTTTAATTTCTAAAGTGTTCCATATTTATCAATGTGTATTCGTTGATTTTAAGCTATAAGGGGAGTTTAAACTAAATTGTACAGAACAATTACGTAATGATAATTTTTCCTCCCTTAATGCTCTGATATATTATTTTTGTACATATCAATCCAATTCAGGCTATTTCTATTATACCTTAGACCTTATCTTAGATCCTACCTCTTTAGGTGCTTTATCATACCATAATAGTAATACGGATTGATATGTACAAATATCATCAGAGCATTTAGGGAGAAAAAAAT